TTTTAAGAAAGGGATCATTGATGTTAAACCTCTTTTTAATTTCTGTGCATCTCATAGTGACATCTAGCATTAAGGTTTGATTTTGTGCAAAATCCGGTCTATTTTTATATAGCTGGGCAATGTCTTCCTTTATTATTATATGGTATTTAGCCCCCCCCCAACAAAATTCTTGAAATTTGCGAAATTTCCGATTGACGGATAGAGACACGTCACTCATCCGATGGCGTCGTATCCGTTTTCTTTCATCCGACTAGTAGAAGCAATTTCCTACAAACGGCAGCCCTGGCACTGGAGTCCACGTGTGCTTGTTAAGTTGTTAGCACTACACAGTGGGTGACGCGAACCAACCAAACTGAACCTCATTTTTTTCATAGTTTTGGTATGATTAGGTTAGGTTAGGTTAGGTTAGGTTAGGTAAAATATAGTAGCCTCGTTGCGTTTGCTCTTTGAAATAACAGGAGTCTTCAAAATATAGCGTTTACCATCGCTCAGCCCAACTGATGCCATAAATATCTTTGTTTCACTAAAGATAAAGTAATATTCAATAAAAGACAGGATAATAATCTTCATAATGAATATTGAAAGAGTATTCCTTATTTATATCACACTGTCAAATTATATTATTAACGGAGAGTCGCAGAGGTTGTGCCAGTGGGCTGTAGTTGTGTTTTTCTCAGGCGTCAGCGGCCGATTTTTCCTGGATTCACCCGGGTTAAAATCCCTCCGCGACGTCACAAGCAGCCGTGAACGCCCGTGTCATGCTGAGGACGACGACGGTGATGATCCTGCGTGATCCAGGGGCCTCACGATGCGGTTCGTCTAAGCTGGGGTTAAAGACCTTTCATGGGGTGTTGGCGGGGTACACCCAAGATGGCGGCCAGATGGGTGTTGTTGTTGATTAGTTGGACCAGAGATGCATATGTATACATGATTTAGGTCTCACACATGTATGAACGTTTACATTAGCACAAAGACCTCCGTTATCATAAACACACACACACATTGGCTCGCACATACATAAACACAACGCTTACGTTCTTCACAATATGTAAAACTCAGAAGCACACACACACATACACCAAAAATATAGTAACTGCAAAAAGTAATAAAGTACTGAAAATCCCTTTATACTTTAGGTTTAATAGGAAAGTAGCATATAATTTCTTTTATAAGTGTGGTTTAGCGAAATCAAAGTAACTGTAGTTGTATTTTTTTTTTACACCTAAAATTCAATTCGAAAGTAAATTGATTTTTTTTCCCCTTCATGGTGCAGTTCGACGCCCAAAAGAGGATCTAAGGCCAATAATATATTCACTAGGGTATATAATATCCCTTAATATTACTACCGCTATTTTCAACCGGCTGTGCTTGCCTATAGTGTATGTATTTATTGTGTTTGATATTGGTCGAAGCTGGAGCCTTGTGTGTGTGGGGTGACGACTTTTATTTTCCTTGACTTTCCTATTCCTTTTAGTATCTCCTTTTAATCCTATTATTCTCTTTCTCTCTCTCTCTCTCTCTCATTTCCTTTATTATTCCCCTTATCATCATCATCATATTCCATAGTTTGTCTTTTTCGTTCTCTTGTATTTTAGCCTTTATTTATTTATTTATTTGTTTATTTATTTGTACTATTTCCTCTGTAAAATGAAATAGGTGAAGGAAGAACGTTCCAGCGTGGGCGAGAAATTTAGGAGTAAGAAGATTAGATTTAATAAAGGAGAGTTTATTGTATATACTCTCTCACACACACACACACACACACACACACACACACACACACACACACACACACACACACACACACACACACACACACACCTCCCCCAGCACAGACACAATTCTCCACCTCGCTCATCCACACACCCACAACCTGCCACCCACCAGACACCACATCCCGCTCAGACACACAACTCCCAACCCCCACACACACTGCCCACCCCTTCAACCCACTCCCCCCACACACCCCAGCCCCCACACACACCCACTCCCCCCCCTCAACCCCCTCCCCCACACACCCACACCCCCCACAACCCCCACTCCCCCCACACACCCACAGCCCCCCTCACACACCCACCCCCCAAACACACTCTCCCCCACACCCACTCCCCCTCAACCCCTCCCCCACACACCCACAGCCCCCACACACACAGTCCAAGCACAAAAGGCAACTCCTTCCCTTGTTCAGTATTCTGGGCTCACGATGATTCAGACCCTGGTAGAATCTTCAAAATTTTTCTCAAAACATGTTTCCCTCCCTCTCGCTCTCTCTGTGTCTCGTGTTTGTCTATTTTTTTTTCTTTTTCTTCTTTCTTTCCTTCCAAGTTTATGGTTTCCTTTCTCTGCTATAAATAGGTTTTGTGTTGGTAGGTATATTTCTTACTGTTGTTGTTATTATTATTATTATTATTATTATTATTATTATTATTATTATTATTATTATTATTATTATTATTATTATCACCAATATATCCTGAACCCAGATAGTTCCAGCAGACCCGAAAAGAATATCGAAATTGTCTCAATATATGTTTTCCTTTTTCCTCTGTTTCAGTCTTATTTTCCCTCCTACCCAAGTTGTGGTTTATATCCCGTGTTATAAATACAATTCTATTATACTTGTGACAATTTATTCTATTTTGTATGTATTCTAAACCTATCTAAATCCAGATGTTTATGAGAATATCAGAAATTACTCAAAACATCTGTCAATTATTTCTGTATCAAGTTTTTTTTTCTTTCTTCTAGGTTGATATGTTGTTGTCTCTTGATGCTATAAATAGTTTGTTTGTTCTTCAGGTAGATTTTTTTTTTCGTGGGGAAGTTGTTTAGCGTATTCCAGGTTTGTCGCTGGTGCTGGGATGGCGTTTAGGGAATTGGATTCAGTGTCTGAAATAAAGTTGGTTGTGTGAGTAGGATGAAGCGAGAGGGAGGCAGGGAAGCGTAAGAGGAGGAATGAAGGAGAAAGAGAGAGGAGGTCAGGGAAGGTGAGAGGGTGGTCGTAGAGAGGAAGGAGAGAGGGAGTGAGGGAGGCCGTCGTAGATCGTAGGAGGAGGGAGAGGAGAGTGGGAGAGTGAGAGATCGTAGGAGGGGAGGGAGAGAATGAGGTCGTAGGAGGGGAGGGAGAGAAGGAGGTCGTAGGAGGGGAGGGAGAGAATGAGGTCGTAGGAGGGGAGGGAGAGAAGGAGGTCGTAGGAGGGGAGGGAGAGAATGAGGTCGTAGGAGGGAGAAATGAAGGGAAGAAGACGTGGGAGGAAGGTATGTGTAGGTTAGAGCTGGAAGACTGAGGTGATTGAGTGAGGTTAGTGTATAGAGAGAGAGAGAGAGAGAGATTAAGTGTAAGAGAGGGAGAGATAGAGAGAGAGAAAGAGAAATTGAGAAAGAAAGAGAGAGAAATTGAAAAAGACAGAGAGAGAGAAATTGAAAAAGACAGAGAGAGAGAGCGAGAGAGAGAGAGAGAGAGTGAGTTAGAATGGACGCCTGCATGATCAGAAGACCCAATATAGGCAGGTAGAGGAAGGCAAAGGAGTGACAGTCAACACCAATATGGCGGAGATGTCCCCCTAGTGGGAATATTTTGAGGAGGGGCACAAAGGAGGTTCAGCACCCACACGTGATCTGAGGGGAGAGGGGGGCTACCGGGAGTCTACAAGGTGTGTTAGGGTGTGTAGAGGCTACCGGGAGTCTACAAGGTGTGTTAGGGTGTGTAGAGGCTGCCGGGAGTCTACAAGGTGTGTTAGGTGTAGAGGCTGCCGGGGAGTCTACAAGGTGTGTTAGGGTGCTGTCCAAGGTGTGTTAGGTGTGTAGAGGCTGCCGGAGTCTACAAGGTGTGTTAGGGTGTGTAGGGCTACCGGGAGTCTACAAGGTGTGTTAGGGTGTGTAGAGGCTGCCGGGAGTCTACAAGGTGTGTTAGGGTGTGTAGAGGCTACCGGGAGTCTACAAGGTGTGTTAGGGTGTGTAGAGGCTGCCGGGAGTCTACAAGGTGTGTTAGGGTGTGTAGAGGCTGCCGGGAGTCTACAAGGTGTGTTAGGGTGTGTAGGGCTGCCGGGAGTCTACAAGGTGTGTTAGGTGTGTAGAGGCTGCCGGAGTCTACAAGGTGTGTTAGGTGTGTGAGGCTGAGTCTACAAGGTGTGTTAGGGTGTGTAGAGGCTACCGGGAGTCTACAAGGTGTGTTAGGGTGTGTGTCTACGAGAGTCTACAAGGTGTGTTAGGGGTGTGTAGAGGCTCTGAGTCTACAAGGTGTGTTAGGGTGTGTAGAGGCTCTGTGTGGGGTGTAGAGGCTGGAGTCTACAAGGTGTGTTAGGTGTAGAGGCTCTACAAGGTGTGTTAGGGTGGGAGGCTAGAGTCTACAAGGTGTGTTAGGGTGTGTAGAGGCTACCGGGAGTCTACAAGGTGTGTTAGGGTGTGTAGAGGCTGCCGGGAGTCTACAAGATGTGTTAGGATATGTGTTGGGGAGACTACCTGGGGTCTACGGGGTATATAGGAGACTCACAACGCCATCTGGTTTAGGATATGTGTAGGGGTTTGAGGGATGTGTAAGGGTTGTGGGATGTGTAAGGCTCTGTATAGGGGTTTGTGGGATGTGCAGGGTTATACACAGTGGTTTGTGGGATGTGTACGGGTTGTGGGATGTGTAAGGCTCTGTATAGGGGTTTGTGGGATGTGCAGGGTTATACACAGTGGTTTGAGGGATGTGTAAGGCTCTGTATAGGGGTTTGTGGGATGTGCAGGGTTATGCATAGGGGTTTGTGGGATGTGTAGGACTGTGTGTAGGGGTTATGGGATGTATAGAGCCGTATGTAGGGGTTTCAGGGATGTGTAAGGGCTGTGGGATGTGTAGAGCCATGTGTAGGGGTTTGTGGGATGTGTAGAGCCATGTGTAGGGGTTTCAGGGATGTGTAGGACTGTGTGTAGGGGTTTTGAAGTCTTCTCTGTGGTGTTGAAGGATCTCTTAGTCACTGCCATGCGTTGCTCTTGAAGGGGAGTTTGTGAAGGATCCTATGGTCGTCTGTGTGTCAGTGAAGGATCCTATGGCCATATATGTGTCAATGAAGAATCCTATGGTCATATGTGTGTCAGTGAAGGATCCTATGGTCATTTGTGTGTTAGTGAAGGATCCTATGGTCGTCTGTGTGTCAGTGAAGGATCCTATGGTCATCTGTGTGCCAGTGAAGGATCCTATGGTTGTCTGTGTGTCAGTGAAGGATCCTATGGTCATTTGTGTGTTAGTGAAGGATCCTATGGTCGTCTGTGTGTCAGTGAAGGATCCTATGGCCATTTATGTGTCAATGAAGAATCCTATGGTCATATGTGTGTCAGTGAAGGATCCTATGGTCATTTGTGTGTTAGTGAAGGATCCTATGGTCGTCTGTGTGTCAGTGAAGGATCCTATGGTCATCTGTGTGCCAGTGAAGGATCCTATGGTTGTCTGTGTGTCAGTGAAGGATCCTATGGTCATTTGTGTGTCAGTGAAGGATCCTATGGTCGTCTGTGCATCAGGGAAGGATCCTATGGTCGTCTGTGCGTCAGTGAAGGATCCTATTGTCATTTGTGTGTCAGTGAAGGATCCTATGGTCGTCTGTGTGTCAGTGAAGGATCCTATGGTCATCTGTGTGTCAGTGAAGGATCCTATGGTCGTCTGTGCATCAGTGTAGGATTTTTTGGTCGTTTCTGTAGGGTTATGAGGTCGTCTGTGACTCTGTGTAGGGTTAAGGATCTCTGAGTCGCGTCCTGCATAGTCTGTAAAAAGTTCTTTGTTCCTGAAATTATGTGTTTAGGATCTTATGGTCCTGTGTGTATAGGATTTCGTGGTCTTTTGTGTAGGATCCTATGGTCATATTTATAGGATTCTGCAGTCGTTTGTGTAGAAAACTGTAGTCGTTTGTGTAGGATTCTGTACTCTTCTATGTAGTATCTAGGTATCGCCTGAGGAAGCTACATATTTAACTACTAACTACTGTACCCATTTCACCATTCAACTAATACGAATAAATTACACAATTACGAATCACATCTAACCTAACTTGACCTAACCTAACCTAACCTAACCTGACCTAACCTAACCTAACCAAACCATTTTATAAATAGTATATAATATAACCTAGACCACGAATCATATATTGTAGAAGGAAAAAAATAATTCATCTTTAAGATTGAAAACCTGAATCACTCCAGTCTTACCACGGGAGGAAAAAATGAAAACTCGCATTGCTGTATGTTGTATTATTACGGTCGAGACAAGGTTGACTGATCTCATCCCTCCTGCTGGTGGTGTCCTGAGAGGTGTTGTGGCTGCCTTCATATAAAAACCATAAAGAAAGGAGGAAGTCATGGGCATAAACTGGCCCAGGAACCATAAGGTGGAGGTGTATCATGAGGTATAAGTTTGTTTGATGGTGTTAATGGTGTAAGTGATGGTGTTAGTGGTGGTGTTGTGGTGGTGATGGTGTTATTAAGGGGTGTTGGGATGGTGGTGGTGGTGGTGGTGGTAACTGTGGTGTAGGTGGTAATAATGGTGGTAATGGTGGTGGTATAGTGTCCCTCCGCCGCGCCATAACCAAGCACCAAATGCACCATTACTCAGGAGGAGACTGGTAACAGGAAATGGTGATTATTGAACTCATGAGGCAAGGCGGTCAGACACACGGACGGACGACCAGACACACGGACAGACGAATAGACGCACGGACAGACGAACAGACACACGGACAGACGAACAGACACACGGACTGACGAACAGACACACGGACAGACGAACAGACACACGGACAGACGAACAAACACACGGACAGACGAACAAACGACAGACGAACAAACACACGGACAGACGAACAGACACAACAGACGACACACGGACGGACGACCAGACACACGGACAGACGAATAGACGCACGGACAGACGAACAGACACACGGACAGACGAACAGACACACGGACTGACGAACAGACACACGGACAGACGAACAGACACACGGACAGACGAACAAACACACGGACAGACGAACAAACACACAGACAGACAGCAGAAAGCAGAGATTATACAATATCATCATCCCTCCTCCAGACTGCGCAGTTGGGTGTACAAGAAAAGCAAATGCAACACAGCAGCGTGGTATCATACATACATACATACATACATACATACATACATACATACATACATACATACATACAAAACTTTACAGAGCTTCAACATTTCATAAGTGGATGGAGAGAGATAACACAAGAACTACGTAACAGATAAAATGAAAAAAAATAGAATTAGAATAAGATGAAGAGCTTTAGTGTAGGTGAATAACGTGTCTTCCTGTGCATTGATATTTTTGAAGGGATTTTCTACATTAGATCAATAGGCTCCTGTAGATTATATTATCAAAGTCTCGTAAGGTGAATATTTCTCGTAAGTGATGATGTAAAACTGTATTTAATTGGTGGGTTTAAAGTATTGGTTGAAAGGGAGAGAGAGAGAGAGAGAGAGAGAGAGAGAGAGAGAGAGTATTAATTAAATCTTTGTTAGTATTCCCTGGTTTTTTATTATTAAGCGACTCACTCACTCACTCAATTTTATTCATTCTTTCACTTATTTCCTCTTTAACTCCTTCACTCGATTGCTCTCATATTGACACACACACACACACATACACACACACACACATCTGGGTATAATATATATTTATGTTTTTGTGTGTATCTCTACGTGTGTGTGTGTGTGTGTGTGTGTGTGCCATCTTCCATCATCACTTTAAAGGCTTATATATATATATATATCTATATTTATATTGGTTATATCATCACAGATATAACAAGTAACATCCTGGGACCATCCTACAAAACCATGCCCCGGCCTAAGGACCTCTACACCATCCTGACTGTAAGTATTATGTACACGAGTAACTGCCCTTCCCCCCACCCCTCCTCGTGTCGTTAGAGGCTCAGTGATTCAAGGATGTAGTTTTAACATATATAATTGGTCCTTAATTGTGATGTATAACTAGGATGACAACAACACTTATACATAACTTGATGACGTTATACAGTATACATATGTGTGTGTGTGTGGAGTTTAGTATAGCAGTTAGTATCTATGTATAGTGTATAGATAAGGCGATGATTACAATTTATGGTCTATATTATGAGTTAGTACAGTATAGGCACCACAGTATAGCAGTGAGGAAATAAGTATTGATGTATTTTTAATGATTATATTAAGTGAGACAGACAGTGTATAATATTACTCCTCCAAATAATTCTGATAGGGATCTTGTCAGTGTCCTCGATCTTCCTCCCTCGAGTCTTTCTTAAAACGTTTCGTGGTAAACAAACGTGACGTCATTATCTTTCATTACAGTGACGTCATCAACACACCTAGTGAACTCTCGCTTAACGAACGACGGTGCTAGTGAGTAAAGTACCAAGTATTCATATAAGTGCCAATTATTCTTATATATTTCATTTGTAAGTATAGATAGAACACATCCTCTTGCGGTAGAGTCTCAACGTAATTCCGACTCCATTTTGGGTGTCGCAGTTGTGTATGGCATACTTGAGAGACACGGTGGTAGAGGTATGACTTGAGACTCGAGGCGTGAGAGGTCTTTGACCACAACATAAGGGGTGAAACTCGAGGCTGAAACTGGGATTATACCACAGGGGATTACCACGGTGTTACGTCCTTCCTTCCCATTCCCGTCCCATTCCACCCCTTCCCTCTCTCCCTCTCCCATTACCTGTTCCATTCCACCCCTCCCTTACTCATTGTATTCCTTATCCCACTGAATCTCTCCTTTCCTCATTACCTATCGTCTCCCTTCCTCCTTTTTATCCCGTCTATTCCCCATCCCACTCCTCCCTCCCTCCGTCCCTCCCTCTGTGGTTGACCGTAGTCCAGCGTTTGACGGCAGTATCTTGACCGTTTAACACACGTTCCAAAATTGACGGCAGACTTTGACCCCATGAGAGGCATTGTAAATAGACCACAATACCTCGACCGCAGTGTCTGACCTGTGTGAGCCGCGTGTTGCTTCAATTTCTCGACCGCAATGTCTGGGCCTGTGAGCCGCACGTTAGCACAATCTCCGTACCGCAGTCTCTAACCTGTCAGACGTATATTTTAAAGTGACCGCAGTCTTTCGCCGCTGATGCCCGTGCCAAAATCCGGCTGCGGTCGCTATTTCGCACACATTTATACGTGTCGACCATTGATTTCGTCCAGTCGTGAATTCTCCGGGAATAGAGCCAAGAATCGCCCCACCTCCCCCACGCCCCCAGACTCTCCAACCTTCGTTCCTTCACTAAATTTTCATCTTAAGTGGAGAGGTAAGAATGCACACAACTATCTGTCTGTAACTAAACCACAAGAATACTTTCCAAAATGATATCAAAACTACATTGAGATTCTGCTTTCACTAGACACACGTTGAAATATCGAGGAGGCTAGAGTGCACATTTTACACTTGAGATCATAATTATGCCTTATTGAACCTTCCCCCCCCCCACCAAGAGGATAAGATTTCAATAAGATTCTGCTTAAAATAATTACCTTCACTTAGCTACAGTTATAGGGGATAATAATTACACTAAGAATCTATAACTTATAATAAGATACGTTTACTAGAATCTATTTGAATTCCTCTTAACAGATTCTTTTATAGATTTTCAGTGTAAATATTTTCCTTCCCAACTGGAGATGCAAGAACGCTTTTAAATTGGCTCACTTAAAGCTACGACACAGAGATGGTGACCGAAATGCCGTCAACATTGCAAGAAGACCTTACCTACAGTCGACCTTTTCTTACCTACAGTAACGGGCAAAAAAAAAATGTGGATCACACTATTCACATCTTATTAAGTTCCAGGTTACATTACAGCTTCTCAAGACTCGTTAATATCGTGTTGTAATGTAGAGATTTTATTATTTGGGGGGGGGGGGGTAGTTAATTGCGATAGATTTGTTTACGATTACATAAACAAAGTTGTTTGAGAGAAGTCGAAAGGTAGAATTGTTGTTAAAATCTTCCTTGTAAGCTTTATTTATTATGCCATTCATGGGAACTTTTTATTCCATTGACGTACTTATCATTCCGGAACTATATTTAATAACACCGTGTTGCATAGGAGAGATTTGATTTGATATATTTGATGTTTTACAATCTCTCTTTATTGGAATATTTACCATTTTCTGACACAATTTGGATTCAATAACACCGTGTTGCATAGTTGAGATTTGATATTATGTAGTTGACATTTAAATGATGAAATTTCAATGATATTTTTAGTATTCATCAATAGTATTCAAAAGTCATAAAGTGTGTTACATAGACGAGATTCAATATTATGTAGTTTACGTTTTTATTATTGTTTTATTGACATTTCCAGCATTGAATAATAGTAATTATATACAATAATCCCGTGTTGCATTGTAGTGGTCTATTATTTTGTTGTTTAGTGTGTGATGAAGGGTAAGGAGGGGGGATGAGGAAGAAGGGGGAGAGGAGGAATGAGGTGGAGAGAGGGAATGAAGGAGAGAGGGAAGTGAGGGAGAAAGAAGGAGAGAAGGGGAGAAAGAAGACGAGGGAGCCAAGGTAAGTGAGGGAAAACACGTAAGGAATGAAAATGAGGAAGAAGACAGAGAGAATGAAGAAGGGTGAGGAAGAAG